TGGTAAGTGATGTACACATCAGCTCTCTTCATTTGTTTTATCTTCAATTGCATTTCCTCCTTCAGAAAGTACAGAGTTGTTAGCTCTGACTGAATAGGGAACTGTGTTCTGAAAGAATAGTCATGTGGCACATCATCTAATGAAAGGTTCTTCTATTTTCTCTCACTCACTGATCCAGACTTTTTCCTGGCAAAAAAGGTATCCTGCTTCCTTCTGCTTCTTAGAGTATAGTAGTTGTTGCAGTGTTGTCAAGTGAACCCCTAATTAGTAGCTTTTAATCTTTCTACCATTGTGGTGTTGGCTATAGTACATAGAAATACTTCTGCCATCATGACATAAAATTACTTTTCAGCCTGAAACATGTCAGGAAAATCATAGTACATGCACAGAAAACCTGTTGGATTTCATAGTGTCATTCTGCATCACATCTAGCCTTCTAGAACAGCAGCTCCAGTGAAGCAGTCGTCCCCTGGGAACACTCCTCCTCAGAGCAGTTTCCCTGGGAACACTCCTTCTAAGAGAGTCGCTCACTGCCAGAAACGCTCACTGCCAGAAATGTGAGAACTCCCCAGCCAGGATTTTACTGGCATTACACTGTCCCAGTAAACAGCAGTCAGTAAATTCATCCTCTGGTTCTCCTTCCTTTGGAGCTGATTTAAGCTTGAGGCCCAAACCTGTTTCTGGGGCAGGTTGTTCCTCACTTTCCCTTGCATAATGCTCCTCTATTCCAAACCACACACAGCTCTTACAAGATGCTCCTGTGTGGTACAAGGAACAGTAGAGGGTTAATCTCCATTTCTCCCCTGCCCATCCTTCTTCATTTTAGAGATCCAGGCTGCTTTCCTACCAAGAGTATTCTCACATGGGAAAAACAGGATGTGAATCGATCAATGCACATCAGTCATTGTTTGCTCAGAACTGACACTTATCTGTCCATTTGTAGCTAATGTGACTTTATTGGAGACACCTGCTACACATTGTACTGTTCCTCCCCAGAACAGCACTACCCAATCCAGCACTGCACTGGACTCAGTCCCTGCCCTGTCTCAGCAGGATTAGATGCTTTTTTTCCCTCCTAGCCTGTCCTCTAGGATCCTTTAGGCCATTTACAGTTGTAGAATGTTGGAACAGTATTTCTGCCTTCTCAGTTGTCCTTTTGCCCCTCCTGCAGCTCCAGCAAGTTTGCTGCAGTTGGATTTCACAAAGCTCTGACAGAGGAGCTGTCTACCCTGGGCAAGGATGGGATCAAGACAACTTGCCTTTGTCCTGTGTTCATCAACACTGGGTTTGTCAAAAACCCCAGCACGAGGTAACTCTCCATCCCCTGCAGTCCTGCCCTTGCTCCTCCTCACCAAGGCACTGCATGTTATCTCCACCTTCAGGCGTTCTGTTCCAGTGTGTCTGACTGGCTGAAGAACATCTGCAATGTCCTTTAACCCACATGATGGTTGTGTTTGAATTACTTGGGTTGGTGCATGTGTGAAGCATGAGCTAGTGCCACCTCTCTTCCACCACAACTCTGATGTGTGTTCTTCCCTGTGCAGGCTTGGCAAGATTCTGGAGATTGAAGAAGTTGTAGAGGCTCTGATGGAAGGAATCCTGACCAACCAGAAGATGGTTTTTGTCCCACCACAGCTCAGCATTGCTTTGCTCTCTGAAATGTAAGTAGTCAAAGGAAAGATGATAAAGGGGGTGGAAACAACATACCAATGCTTACTACCTGAGTACACAAGCTTAAAGTTGCCACATCTGAATCTAGATTAAGTTATATTTAATGTGAAACTCATTTCTGACTCTTGGTAGTAACAGATATGGTTTGGCAGCATGGAGAAACGTGGAATGAGAGCTGGGCAGAAGTGATTCACATTAAGCCCATTTTGATCATAGAATTTAAGGGTTGGAATGGACCTTAGAGATCATCCAGTCCCAAGGCCTGCCCTGGGCAGGGACACCTCCTCACTAGATCAGGTTGCTCAAGGCTCATCCAACCTGGCTCTGAACACTGCCAGGGTTGGGGCAGCCACAGTCTCCCTGGGCAACCTGGGCCAGTGTCTCACCACCCTCACAGGGAAAACTTCTGACTAACATCTAACCTAAATTTTCCTCCTTCAATTTGTGCCCATTGCCCCTTGTCCTGTCCCTGCAGCTCCTAACACAGATCCCTCTGCAGCTTCCCTGGAGCCCCTTCAGCTCCTGGAAGGTGCTCTGAGGTCTCCACACAACCCTCTCTTCTCCAGGCTCAACAGCCCCAACTCCATCATCCTGTAAAGTAAAAACAAATACTATCAAAGCCCTTAGGATAACTTTGCTTTTTTTGTCCTAATTTGGGCCAGGGGGACAAAGAGCTAGAGCTCTAAGGAGATCAAACTGCACCTCAGCTCTAGCATCTCATCCTTCCGTAGACCTGATGCTCTGCAGAGCATGAAACATGTAATACACACCTAGATCTGTACAGTATTGAACCTTTCTTGATCCTGCAGCAATATTGAACCCAAATACAGCCCAACAGATACCTGGCATGGGAACTGCCCTAAAAGGACATGGCTGGGACTGGAGCTATATTCCTCAGAGATTGAGGACAGCTATGTATTCTTTGGAAGTAATGCCCAGTTTAAGGCTTAGTCTCTGTGTACATGCAAACTGTTCCCAGACAAGCTCTTCCCTCACCGGCACTGCTACTTTTCCCCATCATTTTTCTTACCCCACATTTAGTTTCATGACATCATCTCTTTCAGGGTGTTTCCAGAACGTGCCCTGAATCTCCTGAAGAAGATGACTAATGCAAAGTTTGATGCAGTCGTTGGGCAGAGAAACACCCAGTGAAAAGCAGAAATGGATCCTCATTTCCCAGTGACATGAGTGAGAACAGAACATGAGCTGAGCATAGTTCAGCTGGTTTGATTCGGAGCAGAACTAAGAGAGGTGTTTCCAGGCCACCACTTCCAAGCACACCTAAGGGTTTGTCCCACACCTGCAGCAGGGCATGGAGTGTGAGCAAAGCAGAGCTGCAGCTCTAGGAGT